GTCTAATTGTTTTAAAAACATGCCTAAGCCACGACAAAGTATTCTAGGTAAATGTTTTTCGTCTTTGTTTTGAGTTTTTTTACATTTGTAGCTACGAAATTGGCGTCACAAATTTTAACGAAATTTGCGATGTATTTTTCACTGTTTAGTGCTTGAAATATTTGCTAAAATTGACTGGGAATACTTAGAGTTTTCATCGTAGAATGGCGTGGTTACATTTATTTGTTCTTTGACTAAAATGTTTAGCTGTATTATTGCTAAACATGCCGTTTTTGAGAATTTGATTTTCAACTAGGTTGAGGCATCCAACCACGCCATCAATCCCAGTAAAAACATTAGGTCACGTCAGCTAGTTTCCTATCCATTTATTTTATTATCCATGCTTAATTTAACCGTTATAAAATGATGGCGTTTCAACAGTTCCTTTTGAAATCACGCATTAACATAATGAAGTGTTTTGTTTATTCGAATCTTGATTTGCAACCAACTACGTGACGCTCACTTCATTTAACTGTTATAAAATGATGGCGTTTCAATGGTTTCTTTTGAAACCAGACACAGTAAAATGTTTTGTTTATTGTTGATCACATATTCTTGTGAGCGTTTACACGCGTTATAAAATTATGGCGTTTCAACGGTTCCTTGTGAAAGCACGTATTAGTTAACATAATAAAGTTCCCCGAACCTGCGATCCTCGGGAAGGAACGTGAGGCTCTGGGATAATCCGTTGCCGGAAGCCAGGAATCCTGGCTAAGACCGAACTGCGAATTCGATGTCAACGGCGAATCAGATTCCTCCCTGAACGGATTATCCCAGAGCATCACGTTCCTTCCCGAGGATCGCAGGCTCGGGGAACGAGATTGATAATGATGGCGTTTCAACGCATCCTTTCGAAATCACGCATTAAATCTTCCCCACGAGGCAAAAATTGCCGATTCCTTAATAAGTTCTTTCAAAGCGATTTTGAAACAAGAAGGAGTTGAAACTGACTAGTTAGCCACGCAATTTAGCAATGTTTAAGTGTGTTTTCGTTTTTTTGGTCAAACTCTCCTTTTTAGTATTCACGGATGCCTGAAGTTGCTGAGGGCAAGGGGTGCAATTGATTAACAAAAGGGCATACTCCATAACAAAAGGGCACCAATGAAAGGCCTCCCTCCCCGTCACCAAATTCTTTCGGACCGAATACAATTATTTAGGCACTATTCCTCCGTAATTTCTCGCCAAAAATTCCATAAGTAATGCTTTCCGTTTCACCTTTCGCCAAATGGATAACAACTTTGCCGAATTCCTGACGACTGCGGGGTGGAACACCCCACACACATCCTCGAGCGACGTTTAATTATGTCAGTTGTAACAGTTTTGTGCACCAGTTGCACTTTTGTGAATAATTTAATTATGTTCACGCCCCCAATGGAATCAGACGAAAGCTTGTTGGGGAAATAAATTCGTGAGAAAATAGAGTCAATGTATGTATGTGTGTATGTATGTTTTGTAAGTATAATTGTATTATCGTTTTTCATTCCTGTTTGAGCGGTAGTTTTGCAGCTCTGTATGAAGGCAAGCTAGCCTTTGCTCCAGAGATTTATATCGAATGCTACATGAAACTGTTTAGATGACATATGCATTCAAAGCGAGGGACATGCCTGCCCATAATTTGGGCAGAAATGTTACCAAGTTGGGCAATTCCTACCCAAGATTAGAGCAGTTTTGTTTGGCAGTCGTCTTGTATATAGGGCTATGTTCGCTTTAAAGAGGTACCCCTGTACCAGTATGTTCACTTTAATTAAAGTGAACATACTGGTGAGTGGGCACCTCTTTAAAGCGAACATACCGAAGGTGTTCACTTAATAAGGGTTGGGCTGTAAAGAGGTGCCCGCTTAATTAATGGGGATTTGCAACATCAAACATAGCAGAGGGTATATAACGCCCAACTTAAATATTTAGGAACAGTACTGATTAATTAAAGGGCATACGACTCGAAAATTGATGGTGTTATTTTTTAGTCTAATTTAAAAGGTCATTGAAAACTGTAGCGTAACTTCTTTGACAGATTTCTGTTTTCTTGCTTTGTTTTGAAGATATCCCATTTTGTATGATATGCAAAGGACCAAATTTGCATATGCATAATGATTTAGCCCTAAAAGATGTTATATCTTTAATACGACTAAGCACAATCAGTAGAAAATCTACATGGGTGTTGTTGTGGACAAATCTCGTGCTCATTATTCATTTTGAGGAATTTATTTGATACTGACAATATTATATAACATTTTAATTTAAAGTAAGTCATTATGCATGTGTGACGTAGAAAGTTGGTCCTTTGCATATCATATAAAATGAAATATCTCCAAAACGAGGCAAGAAAACAAAAATCTGTCAAAGAAATTACTCTACAATTTTCAATGATCTTTCAAATTAGACAAAAAAATAACACCGTTAATTTTCGAGTCACATGCCCTTTAAAGGAAAACGCGACAACGGATCCGGAAGGGCTGGTTATGGTGCGGAACTTTCCTGCGATTTCAAGTTTTGAGGAGACAGTGTTCTTTAAGGCGGTTTTCCACTAGGCAAAATTTTTCGACCGAATCGAAATTTCTCTTTGTTTTATGAGCTCTCAAGCAGAACTAATTGTAAAAAGACAAAGAGAAATTTCGTATCGGTCGAAAAATTCCGCCTCGTGGAATCAGGCCTTAAGGCCTAATTCCACGAGGCGGAATTTTTCGACCGAAACGAAATTTCTCTTTGTCTTTTTACAATTTGTTCTGCTCGAGAGCTCTGAAACAAAGAGAAATTTCGATTCGGTCGAAAAATTTCGCCTAGTGGAAAACCGCCTTTAATTGCAATTGCTTGAAAGACAAATTAAAGAAAGAAAAGTTTGTTTTAGAATATTAGTTCAAGTTACTATAGCGTTTATACTACGTAGAAATACTGCGAAACATCAATAACAATTATTAACAAATACATGTCTATAGTGCCTTTCCTTCAAATTGATTTTTATTATTGCTTGTTATGAAAATTTATTTAGCATATTTGCTTTCATCATCCAGTTACGTTTGTTAAGTTCGCTTCAAAAACTCATGATTAATAATCTAAAACATTCGCAGTGCATGTTTTATCAGACCTAAAGATACTCGGCTTCGCCTCGTATCTATACATCTGATAAAACACTGCTGCTCATGTTTTAAATAGTATTTAATTAAAGGCCTGTTTACACTTGCAATGGAATTGGCTTTCAAGTTTGGCTTCAAATTTCCGGTGGGAGGTAGCGTTCCAGTAATATTTATTTCACTGGTTTAATCAGAACTACGTTATATTTTACTGAGATTGACTTTAAGTTTTTTGAAAGCTAGAATAACCAAGACCAATTCAGGGATCTGTGATCCTGATAGAATAATTGCAAATATTTTTTGATGTGTAAAAAGACTGCTACCAAGTAATGGCCCTGTAAGTGAAGACACTCTATTCAATACAGTCATTATGGCTTGCACCATCCCCTGATTGTCTGGATTAGTGTGCTTCGAAACTAAAGAACGACCAACTGCATTAATAACAGTTACTGCTATCCCATCCAAGGCAATTGTTACTAACAAGCTATAGTAAGCTCTGTTAGACATCAGGGAAGAGGACGCCAGCAGAATAACACCCACGGATGAAAGGGCACCAAAAATAGCGGACATCAATAGGAGGAGTCGATCTGAAATTTTCGGTGACAGAATCAAAAGAATAATTCCAAAAATGGTGATTTCTACACCCCAGATTGTAAATAGTAAAGTGACTTTGTCTTCACTCCAGTGTAACATGCGCTCAGCAACCAGGGGGGTTATGGCTTGAAGAGATGAATGGAGGATAAAAATGAAAAATGTCGAGTATACCACTACAATCACGTGAAATTTGGCAAAAATATCTCTTACAGCATCTCGGAATGACCCACTGCTGGACTTCTTTGAGTCGTCTGGGAATATAGTGTTGTCATCTTTTGCTATTTCCTCGGTTTTGATAACGCCATCATTTATGAACGGAGATGACGTCGTATCACCGCGCTTGTCCTCTGGGCTTTCGATGCTATACGCTTCTCGGAGTTGCTCTTTTTTGGAAAACTGTTCTTTCTTTAGACCGTCTGAAACTGGTTCATACCCTCTTTCTTTTCTCATCTCGTCTGAGAGATCATAGACAAATACAAACATGATACCAGTGGCTAGTATCCACATTAAAGCCATGAAAAATCCCGGCGATGTGCGGAAATCAATGTGCCAGTTACCGATGTAGAAATCAAACTCTTTTAGAAAAAGGTTTAGTGCTGGTCCTAAGACAACTCCCAAAAAGTAACTTACTTTCACTAATGTAAAGTATCGAGTACGTTCTTCCTCAGTTGTGATTCTGGCCAGTTCTGCCCAAATAACTGACGCATATCCTTCACCAAATCCTGCTACCATGCGTCCTAGCAGGGGCAAGTACATGTTGAAAGGAAGCGAGTATATTGCATTACCAACAATCTGGAAAATAGTTTACTTGTGCTAAGTTGACATTCTTTTGCCGGAGGTACGAAACTACTCTGTTCTTTAATCACTTTACCTGAAATTCCATGCTATATATAGCTTCATTTAGAGCCAACAAATGCTTTCATGGTAAAAAAATTAATGTTACCCTTTCTTTGGAAACTGGAGGTGGCGTACGGTTGCTCTCTAATAGTTAACATGCACAACTAGTACTCAACGAAAACGAACAAATATCCAGTTATGTTAATAATGATAGCTTATTTTGTAAGTCAAGATTACAATTAAACAAGCATATATCAAAACATATTAGGTTTATTGTTTAGCAGATGGCTATAAATTGAATCAAAACTACCGAAGTTTTACATAGTCTTTGGGATGTGTTATTTTGGTTTTAGGCATATACATATACATATTCTTTTCCGGCTGATAATTTCAGCAAATATAGAACAAAAGTTATTCCGAATAAGGAGTGCATAATATTAACACACAATTTATAAAAACTGTATATTTCGAATCAAATCTGATTCATCTTCAGCAGTGTTTTGCAAGATATGTGAATACATATCTTGCAAAACACTGCTGAAGATGAATCAGATTTGATTCGAAATATACAGTTTTTGTTGCATGCCATATATGGCATGTAACTTTCATATAACTCTAAATTTTGTGTCATCGTCAGTGGTGAGCGTACCAAATCACGTGGCAAATTCGTAAAATACGACACTATACGAAGATACCGAGCTTTTCCGACGAGCATTTTCATGTGATCATTGTTGGTTTTCATCGAGGAAACGTTAGCAAAGAAAAGATTGATTGTTCGCCGAAAATTTACATAATTGAGCGAAGTAGGTAAATTGAGCGAGGTTTTTAATTTACCTTATATTCTGTTATTTGTTCTTTTTGTTGTAGTTTTGGTCATTTGGAGCCGTTGTGCTCGCACTGACTAATATTTCTAATAATATCAGGCGTTATTATATATAACTAGTCAACTGAAACCCAGGCACCCCTGACCCCCGGGACAGGGCGGGGAATTAACGGGGGAATGTCCGTGAATTAACGCGGTCTTAATACACCATTTCCCCCGGGGTACAGGATAAATAACAAGTCAATTTATTAGCCGGGACAATAGCCGGGACTTTAACGCGCGGCTGATATGAAAGTGGACTGGAACGAGTTTATCCTCGTGGCAACATGGTGGAATCTTCGAAATCAGAGAATTGTTTCCTCATAGTTTTTCTTAAAAAAAAAGGGGAATGTATTTTCACTTTTTTATATATTCCTGATGATGACTGCAAGATACTCGAAATGTAGATTATTCAGTATCTTTTGGTGCAGATCAAAGTTTAAAGGAACACTCCACTAAAAATATATTGAGGTGCAAACAAGAGATTGTACTTACGTTAGGTTACTTGCGAAGTTTGAAAGGACAATTATTTTTAGGTAAGGAGGAATTGTTCATCGAAGTTTGTAAAATCCCTTATAGAACGACGCCATGTTGTCTTTCTCAAGCAGACGCGTAAGACCAGCCAAGACCAGCGGTTTCACAAAAAAATGACGTCACTGAGTGCTTTCATCCTTCGCGCGAAACTTCAAAAACTTTCATTATCACTCATCTAGAAAAAAAGTTCTTTATTTCTAGATCTGTGTTTCATTATACTGTAGTATAGTGTTTACTGTTTAACCAATTGTGTTAAATCGACTGTGAAAATAGCAAAATATCTAAACAACAAATGAATTGTTGAATTTGCGCGGGTTGTCCCTCCTGATATTTCGCAACTAAATGCTTTTAGGTGGACCACAGTCGATTAGACACAATTAATTAAACAGTATTAGACCACTACAAGTTAATCTTTAGTTTCTGGTCCGTCGCCCGCGTCCTTTCTCCGTAAAGTATTATTTCAGGACTATTTTGTTGTTTACAATTAATTTCTAGTTCTTGAAAATTTTCGCGAAGGATTTAACTTATAGAACGATAAATATTCAATTTACACTAAAAAGACCTAGCAAAATGAAGTATTAAAGGGTAAAAACCACTGCCTTATAGAACTGCATTTTCATTTGGCCATCATGCACGACAGCACGAGATTGCGAGGTAAAAAACTAGAAATAGACCATTTTGATACGTAAAATCCTTTGTAATCTGTCATGCATGTCGATTTTTAAATAATACAAATGCAATTTATGTAAAATTTTATAGTATTTTGATACAATTAGCATGAAAAGGGACAAGAAAGACCACAAAAATGTGGGCAAAGCCACAATTGTAATTATGTCCTATAGTCCTAACCACCCGCCCGCCCGCGTCGTCAACGAAGGTAAGGCGGACCAGAAACTAAAGATTAAGTTGTAGTGGCCTAAACATCGCGCGAAGAATGAAAGCACTCAGTGACGTCATTTTTTTGTGAAACCGCTGGCCGTGGCTGGTCAAACGCGTCTGCTTGAGAAAGACAACATGGCGTCGTTCTATAAGGGATTTTACAAACTTCGATGAGCAATTCCTCCTTACCTAAAAAGAATTGTCCTTTCAAACTTCGCAAGTAACCTAACGTAAGTACAATCACTATTATGCACTCCTTATTCGGAATAACTTTTGTTTTACATATACTTGAAATACTGGCTCATTAAAACTTCATAAACCTTGTGGCAAATCATGTCAGCCATAACATGTCATGTGGAGTGGCTTTATATCTGATAAAACTCATCTTCCGTAGTATTCTTTATATAATTGTTCATCCTAATTAGTATGATTATATAATTGTTCATCCTAATTAGTATGATTATATAATTGTTCATCCTAATTAGTATTCTTTTGTGGTCGTATTTTAAGCTGTTCAAACACCCGAACTCGCGTTTTATCATATCTAAAACGCTCGGCTGCGCCTCGCGCGTTTTATATCTGATAAAACACTTCTTCTCGTGTTTTAAATACTACATATTTTTTGTGACATTCTCAAAAATTTCTGCATTTAAATAGAACACCAAAAGGCTTTCTCCAAGTGTATTGTTAGGGTAGAAATCTGACTGGATCGAATTTTAACCGGATTTGAAAATTTCGTCGAAATACAGTATTGCATGGTTATGTGCTATAGGAATACATAATATAATTATTAACAAACGGTTGAAATCTTGAAGGGCCTGGACCCTGATAAGTTACCATGGTAACTACGGGATTTGGAGAACGTAACTCGAACGTAAATGGACGGTTGTTTAGGATAGTTTTGTGGTTTTACTAAAAAGTATATTGCATGTGACGATTTATTCTGACAAGAATACAGTATGTTAGTTGATTTTATATTTAAGAAATAGAAAACGAGACGCGTGCGTTTATGGTGTGATAATGCACGCGGGGAATATTGGGAGAATACGAGAGAAGCGTGTAAAACACGAGGCGTAGCCGAGTGTTTTACACGCTTCTCGAGTGTTCTCCCAACATTCCCCAAGTGCATTGTCACACCATAAACGCACGAGACGAGTTTTTCTATTTCTTTTATAATATAATATAAGTGGAAGATATTACATAGTAAACAATTTTACTCAAAAGATCGACGTTGAAATTCTCCTAACATGTACTCAGTGACGTCACGCGCATGCTTTTACTGTCGCTTGAATTTTTAAGCGAGCGAAGGAGAAAATTTGCCAAAACAATATACAAACTTTTGATGTTATAAAGCCGGAAAAATTGTTTAAAATAGTGGAAATAAAAAAGCAGTGACACACAGACTAATTTGCCAAAGTTTTTCAGCATCTGGGCTGCTGGATTTGCCATGAAAGACGGTAAATCGTAGGTTTCGTCGTGTTTATTACTCAGTTTTAATTTTCGAAATTATTGTATTTTTTGTCTTTCGCCGAAAATATATCTAGCAGTTATTATCAGAAGAATTGAAGGTACTTTCTAAATCACTTATATTCAGTTTTTGTTGCCTTTTTGTATGTATTTGGTCTTCCAGCTGTATCTTTTTCAAGTTTTTTTCTTGACTATTTTGTACGCTTTTTACCCAAAACTTGTCGAGACAACAACAAAGTCGACGAATGCCAAGCCGGTTAATTTTATAAGTAGAACTATAGAAAATTGCTTTGTTTTTTTGGTTTATTCCTTCTTGCTTTCTGGTAAATTTTGCATTTTAAAAGCTCTATAATTTTGTGTATAATTTTGGCTAAAAAGCAGAGATGAAGCGGGATAAAAAACAGAGAAAGAGCAAAGCAGTGCATGCCACAGATCACAGTGCATTATTGCGTCACAATGCACGCGCATTAGCCAATCAAATCGTCTGTTATATCACACTTATATTATAATGTTCTTTAATCTTCGTGCAACAGTTACCTCAACCATAAATCCGACTGGATCTCTATAGGCAGTAAAATAATGCTTACCTCAGCTAGATTCCAAACAATTCCAGAAAATCGAAGATTCATATTTCCGTCTGCGAGACGACCAACCAAGATGGCGGAGGCAATGCCAACTGTGTAATAAGCAGACAATACCAGACCAAGATACCAATAGTCAGCGTGGAACATTTGTAAATATGGCCATATAGAGGGAAATATCACTGCTTCCTCCGCTCCCATCAAGAACACTCGCACAGAAAATGCGAAAACTGTTAAACTTCGCTTTTGAGAAAATGTTAGATTCTTTATGTTTTACACCGATTATCTAGCAATGAAAATGAAAAAAAAAACACTTTAAGTTATTGGCTATGCATAATCTGGTGTAAATTTTCTGGTTTTAGTCTCTATTGAAATACTAATCGTGGTGTCGTTTAAAATGTGCGTCTAAAGGCCATACAAACCGGACGCGATTGGGCAACGCGACACGAATTTTCAGTTTTCAATGACATTTAACTCTAATATTTTTCAGTGTTTTTCAAATATTCGGGACCACTTAAGCAATTTTAGCTATTTGGTCTGCATATTTTGTAAAATTTTTATCCGTTGACGGTTTTATTTGTCTTTGAAAACTAAAAATCACGTCGCGTTGTCGAATCGCGTCTGGTGTGTCTGGACCTTTAAGCCGGTTTCCGCTTGCGAATTTTTTTGCGCGAAGCGAATTTTTCATTTGTCTTTGGTTTCTCAACTGGAACCATGTGGAACTAATTGGATAAAGACAAAAGAAAAATTCGCTTCGCTCGAAAAAATTCGCAAGTGGAAAACCGGCTTGAAGGTCCAGACACACCGGACGCGATTCGACAACGCGACGCGATTTTTTAGTTTTTGTAAGTTAATAAAACAGCCAATGAGAGCAAATTTTAAAAGATATGTAGACCAAATAACTGAAAATATTCTAACGCTTCTAAATATTTGGAAAATTGAAACTAGGATCAAAGTTATCGTTCAGTGAAAATCGAAAAATCGCGTCGCGTTGTCGAATCGCGTCCGGTGTGTATGGACCTTAAAGGCGGTTTTCCAGTCCTCGCACGAAGCCCCTCGCAGCTCGCTGCGTGTAGTTGCATCTATAATTAAATTAACTGTTTAGCATTGTGATTGGATGAAAGTGCTCATGCATCACTCGCAGTGAGCTGCGAGGAGCTTCGTGGACTGGAAATCCGCCCTAAGACCTGTTTTATACGTCGAATTTTGGTCGCGTCGAATGCAATTAAGACAATAGAT